CTGTTAAAAGGGAGTTTTTCCTCTCCACTGTCGCTACAAGCATGCTTAGTGTGAGGGATTGTATTTGAGTCAATGCAATCAACTGGTTTTCCTTAGACAGAAAACTTTGTATCAATTTGACTGTATGATCTGGTTGAACTGTAAAGTGCCTTGAGATGACATGTGTTGTGAATTTGGCGCTATATAAATAAACTGAATTGAATTGAATTGAATTGAATTGAATTGAAAACATAAACATGAGAACATGTATTAACCAAACTGTTGTGGACCTACAGTACGTACTTTAGACCCAAGATGGTATAAATGACTAAAAACATTCAACAATAATGTACAGACGAGCTATCCTGGACTATTAGAATCCATATAACCAGATTGGGGTCCCACAAGCGGCACTGCATGCAGTTCATAAAGAGATGCTTCTAAATAGCGTGAGCAAATCCCCATCTGTGCAGATTCTTTTTTCTCTTCTGTCCCAGTGCACCACAGATTGAAGCAATATCCTGACTTTGACTGGGTCTGATTATTTATTTTTTATTTTTTTTGATAAAAAATAAAAAAGCAGCAATCAGGCCTACAAAGCAAACACTGACTTCATTACCAGCCTGCTGCAGCATGCTCCTACTAGAGCAGATAGAGAATCTTTTTCAGATTAACCCTCTCCAGGCAGATGTTGCAGATTTGCAACAGCTAAATGCCACTTAGCTAATTACTCTACATCCATATCTTAAGAGCTTTTGTTACTCAAAAGTACAACAGACTTAGTTGTGCATTTGCAACAAACAGTTTCTCTCCAGCTCACCAGATAGCACTGCTGACTCACTTTATACATGGCTGAGTCCTTGGTGTCACTGAAACAGATTTTCTAAGCACCAATTTCATGTAAGTTTAACTACCAATTTCCATTATTTTGAAATCAATGCTACATGAGATGAATCATGAATCTGTATAGATATGACACATGCCAATTAGTAGATTTGATCCTCTGGGTTTTTCACCAGAGGCATCTCGATTTCAATGTTGTGGATTCGCAACGTGTGCCCAAACAGGTACCAATGGATGCTACATGCTTTATCTACTAGTTTGCCTATATTTTGAGCAACAGTTTAACAGAAGAAGTTTTGAGATGTCAGTGGAGAAAAAGTTTTAGAAAAAGTTGTCTCTAATTTTGTGAGACAAATTTTGTTTCTTCGAATATTGTTTTGTTAATCCTTTGTTTGGGACATGGGCGTAGGTTTGTATAGGGACCATAGGGACTAGGGGTGGAAAGGTTCACAAAATCCACGGTTCGGTTCAATTCACGGTTTCTGGTCACGGTTTTCGGTTCGATTCGATACATGTTGATTGTTACACCGAAATCCCATAAAAAATTATGAAAAAATCCCCCCAAAAATAATGGATTGTAATTATTTTAAATGATGATAAACCCTGGATCATTTCCGTATGTTTTGCTGCTTTGAATTTAATCATCTGGCGCATGCTCTCTAACCTGACAACAGCCAGATGCATGTCTCGCTCTGCATCTGGCTGTTGTCAGGTTACATGCTCTACCATCTCCAAGGAACTCAGAGGGGAGCGGACGGAGGGAGCCACAGTGGGGGCTGTAGGCTTTGCTTTGAGCAGCCGGTCTGGAGTACAGCGGGGGCGGAGCGGGGGTTGCGGACGGAGTATGAGGGATTTCGGGGTTAGCATGACATGTTGCTGTTAGCATAAACAAAACGTGTTGCACAATGCTTGCACACTGTTGCACTTTTATCCACAACTTTCTTTTCGCCGTCATCGTAGGTCACTCTAAATGCAAAGCGCTCCCATACAGCAGACCTATAAAGTGCTGCTGGCGCGTCTTCCAACTCCTGTTCTTTCCCACTCGCCAGTCCGACACAATTCTCCACAACAACTGATTTTTTCCCCTGCTACAACCGGCTAAGCTGCTTCGCTTCTTCTTCTTCTTCTTGTTTACTACTGGCGGTTGGCTTTGGTCGCAGTGCCGCCACCTCCTGCTCTGGAGTGTAAACGCTTCGCCTATGAGAAAAAGGAGCAGCGCATGAACCGAACGAAACACACGCGAACCGAACCGAGACAGTCGAACCGAACGATTCTGACGGTTTTCATAAATCGTCCCATCCCTAATAGGGACATGTCCCTGCCAAAATTTTGGAAGGACCTTTTTGTCCCTACCAATAATTGGATGTAAACAACATGTTTATAATTTACTATACAGCAGCCGCTTCTTTTCCTCTCGCAGCTTCTCTGCCTGGTAGCTGCAGCTGCCTGCTCTTTCCTGTCCCTTTCACATAGCAGCGCATCAACTGTGCTGCGCGGTTTAACTCTCTGATTATTCTGCCTTGAGTTCCGCCTTCTCTCTTTCTGATTGCGTGTTTTCTAGTCTGTAAGTGCGCGCGCGGGGGTGCTTGGAGCGCGAAAAAAAAGACGCTAAAATAAATTAATATTGGGCTGTGAAACTAGTCCAAATTAAAAGAAAAATATTATCTACGCTAAAACAGGCGAAAGCTTCTGATTGGAGTTCTGTAAAGAAGCAGGAGAGAGTTTTTTGATTTGTGGAACTTGAGAAATGTAAGTTAACAACGTTAGGATTTCTTTTATTTTATCTTTTAATCAGATAGCCAAAGGCTCCTTAAAGAAGATCATTTATGAAATGAAACCAGGTGAAACAGAAACGTTTAAACGTTTCCTTTGGAGGAGTTCTGGATGGAGAATATTGACAGACAAAAACTTTTTTTTTTTTACTTCTTAAATGCTAATATTTTTTACAATCTTGGTATAATTCCTGCTCTAAGTGGGTCGCTCTGTCGGCTAAAGGCACATTTTAGTGGCCCTATACTCCAGTTTACGATTAATCAATTACTAAATTAGTTCACAATTATTTAAATAATTTGTTAATGTGATTAATTGTTTCAGCCATAGATAAAATACATGAAATTAGCTACACAGAGTAACTACAGCCCAGATGTACAACTTCTAATATTAATATTTTAAATGCTCAGTGTCAGTTCCTCTTCTAGTTCCAGTGCACATGTAAATACAATACATTTATTTTCCGTCCCTTGAATGTATTATTTTGCATGATCCAGAGAGAGCATATTAGAAAAAAAAAAAAATAAGAGTGGTTTTTACCTCTGTTTACCTCTGCACAATTCTATATCTTCAGAAGAAAACACAGGATAAATCCACATATTACAGACATATTTGGTTAAACAGACACTGTCTTAGTCGCATTTAAATTTAAATGCAATCCTTTTCAAAGTGGAAAAAGTCCTCATTCCACATTCATCAGAGCCAGTTATGCTTTAAATACTGATAAACAGCATCTAGTGCATGTAGTGCTTATAAGATTTGTATTAATGTAGCAAGAAATGCTGCTGTTCTCTTTTAACAAAATGAGCCCTGAAGCTCACATTAAGCATAAAAAAGAGCATGCATATTTTTGCAAAGGACCAATGAAACTGAAGAATAGTGTCCCTACCAAAGTTGAAATCAAACCTACGCCCTTGGGACATTCAAATAAAATTAACGTTCATATCAGATTCAGTCTTCAGTGTTAATTTACCACTCCGGGCCACTGTTGCAAATCTGCAGCATCCTAGAATTCATTGCATTTGAAGGTCGCTCTCAAAAAAAAGTCTGAATTGTATATTACTACCCCATATGATCATTTTCTCCAAATATCAGATTTTTCCTGTAACTACAACTTAATTTGAGTCTGACGATACTGGGTGAGGCAGCCAGAGGTGATTCTCAGAGAGAAATTAGTGAAGTTTGTCGAAGTATTTCTTCATTTTTTTTTTTTTTTTTTTTGAAAGGCTCAAAGCGGATCACTACTTCACTTTATCCAATTTTTGTTCTTCTGAACTCCTATTACAGTACATGTAAAGTATTCTGCCTATTGAATTGTTTTTGTTGATTGTTTACATCCCAGTCTGCCCCGCTTGCTATATACATGCAAATGTGATTCCAAGCAGAACAAACCTGATGGTTTTCCCTTTGAAATGAAAGATTTTATTTAGTATTTCCACCAAAGTGAATGTGTTTTATTTGCGACCACATCTCTCTTCCCGTTAGAAACTGAATTGTCTTCTCTTCCAAATTGGTCCTCGAGACTTAAGACTTCTTTTTAGGCCATTTAGAAAAAAAGCCCACTACAGTCTTGAGAGCAACGTAATGCTGTGTACATCTCTGTGTCATTACAGAAATTAATTGATAAAAAAAACAACTTTAGCTTCTTCCAGGCGAGAGCAATGTCCCAGTGTGATTTCACTGCTTTTTTTTTTTTTTTTTTTTTTTTTTGCCGAAGCATTCGGTTTCTATGGCGGTTGCTAAGGTGAGTTCTTGGATTTGACTGATTGATATGAAAATAATGTTAGCCATTTATTAATAAAAATTGTCCAGTCCTTGCTGTGAAAAAATAAAAGCTCTATTTCTCTTATTAACTCTTCACCCAATCTTTAAGACGGTAGATGGACCAGCGCCTTTCAGCATTATGTCAACTTAATGCACCGAAAGGTTCTGCTCCTTGGTTCCATCTATACTGAACTAAATAAGAATTTTTTGTTTCTTAGGGACCATTCTGCTTGGAATGACAGGAGATGAACAGATTACTTTGCTTTTAAATTCATCCTCATGGTGTCCACGTTTATTTCCTTCATTTTTTTTTTTTTTTTGTTTTGTTTCTCTTAGTTTTGTCTCTTAATCTGTTTCCAGGTTTTTGTTTTTCTTGCTGATTGATCATTTGACTCCAGGTTGATTCCTGGTCCAGCATCAGCAGACCTGTCCACTAAGGTGGAGACTTTGATACAAATTGATGTAAAGTGAGGATCTTTTTGAGTCCTGTTTTTAATGGAGGGGAGCAGGGGGTATATTAAGGCCAGGGTTAGACCATAGAAAAGAATGAAAAAATGAAAGGAATGAAAACAAAGGTGTCTGTTTATAGAACAGAGCAGAGTTGCTGTGGAAATGCTTCTCAATGTGGAAGAACAAGAGCTCACCTGTGGCCTTGGAATCGGCTCAGTGGGCGTGGTCTACGTTGATTTGCCTGCAAGGTGACGCCGGAGGCTGAGCCCCTTCTGGACAACCGATGTTAGCAGTAGGTAAAAGGACATCTCTGAGCAAGATCATCCCTATCATGATCATCATGCTCTAAGAGAGCAATATGGCAGCTGGCTGCTGGGTTTGGAGGAGCTGCAGGGAAATGTCACGCTGCGCCTCACTCTGTGAATCTAAGACACAGATAAAAAGATTTTAAGCATTTTATCTTTATGACAATAAAATAAACCTGCTGAAATTAGTGCTCAGTTCACTGCTAGAAAAAAAAAACTATTTTTTTTTTTTTTAATCCAAACACTAAAGCTGCATTAAGGAGTTTTGAGAAAACTATTAACGTCGGACAAGATTTGAACAAGCACTCCTCCCACGCCTAATTGTCCTTGAAAAAAAATATATCACATGTCTTTCAATTGAAAAGTCATCTATTTGAAAAAGGACTCCCACTTCACCAACATGACTGGCATCAACCTGAAGTTTAAAAGGCTTGTTTATAGCAGGAGCCAACAAGACAGGAGAAGTGCATAGCATCTTCTTCACGTCTAAGAACACTATCCAGGGTGGGAAAGGAGCTCTGGACTGCTGTGCTGAATCCAGACATCCTCCCAGCATCATCACACTACAGACACATTGATGTCAAACCAGGACTACAGACAAAAAAATTATTAGAATTAAACTAAAGTTTAAAAAAATGCAGCAAATGGCTGAAACTCACTGGTATAAAACCCAAACCGCACATAGGGGAGAATATTAGCTTCCCTGAACTGCAGGCAGTAATTCAGAATAGATTTATATTAAATCCTGGCTGGGAATTTCTGGTTTAGCTTTACTGAACCACTGATTCACTTTTTTTATTTCAATATAAAATATTTTAACGTAATTTGTTTTCTTGCTAATTAAATTTAAGCAAAAACACAGAGTCCAGAATACTTGGAAACTAAATGTTTTTATGGTCTTTCTGATGATAGTGTCACTTTGATAGAGAATAAAAACACTCAGAACCTTCAGGAACAACTGAGCAAGAAAAATCTTCAGAAATTCACCATGAAAAAATTAGACTTAGATTTATTTTATTTTGTATACACAAATATATAGAGAAATTTCATTTAGAACAGCTCTCTAGACCATTTCTCCTCCTATCTTCACCAAATATTGATCATGCTACCAAATACTCCAGTTCAGTGGTCATTACTGGTTCCTTTCAGAGCAGAGGAATAAAAACACCTTCCTGAGTCCAAACCTCAGGTGCTCGGATAAAGGATCCGGACTTCTGGGCCTTCGGTTCTGGTTGTTCTGGTCCATACCTGCTTAGCTTTGGGTACCGGGAGGCTCTAGGGTCCAGTTCTATTCTATGGAAATCACAAAAATTATTTATTTTGCTTTATTTTTGTGGATAAATGCAGAATTGAAACTAGACATTCTAGCGCTGTTAGCATTTCCCATTGGTGTCACAAAAATGAAGTGCGTCGGAAACATGGTTTAGTTCAGACATAATGAGGGGTTCCGTTCCGGATTTATAAAGAAGAAAGAGAAGATAATTTCAGCCCAACAGCAAAGACAGTCATTTTATTCACAGCCTATGTCAACAAACTGCAAAGAGAAAGACAAGCATAAGACAGAGAAAATCAGGATCTTTGCCAGAGGAGCTGAACAGTTTTTGGGACTCAAAGAAGTTAGTGAGGAAAACATTGTTACACGGTTGGAAATGGAGGGAAGAACATGAGAATCTGGAACATAAAAGTTTAAGATTTTGTTAATAATAAATAGTGATTATATCAGATAAAGGATATGTGTTTATTATATTATACATAGTAAACTGTCAATGTGTTCCACAATCCATACCAGTATTATACCGCCACCTACTGACGGTAATACACTTTATAATTGCTTGCAGTGAGAAAGAAAGAAAGAAAGAAAGAAAGAAAGAAAGAAAGAAAGAAAGAAAGAAAGAAAGAAAGAAAGAAAGAAAGAAAGAAAGAAAGAAAGAAAGAAAGAAAGAAAGAAAGAAAGAAAGAAAGAAAGAAAGAAAGAAAGAAAGAAAGAAAAGGTCATGACTACATGTTCAGTTCAGAGTAGAAGCAGTAATAGAAGCTGAAGATTAAATGCATATCGTAGAACAAGCAGCTGAAGCCTATAGGATGGAGGAAGAAGAAGCACAAATAAAAGAGAAATTTGAGGTTGATAATGTATGCAGGTGAAAGATTTCAGAAGACAAGCAACCTTTAAGAAACTTTAAAGGTTGGATTCAATTAAACAGCCAAGCGCTGCAAAGATATGTATTTCAGATATCAGAAAATACATATTTAGTCATGCAGATGAATATGAAAACAGCCACTTAAAATGTGTAAACATTTCTAGAGATATGAAAATGTATTGTTACTAATACATTTTTTTGACATTCTGAAGTTCATTTTCTGCAAAAAGTGTAATCTAGGAGTTCCATCATTACAGTTCTGAATAGGAATATTATTTTGACCAGGAAAAATCCTATTTAAGTGATCTACAGATAGGAAAATAGAGGGGAGAGTGCTTTTGATAAATATTCAAATAGCCTGCCATACAGTTTGCACATAAATTTATGTATTAACTCAAACTCAATCCCTACATCATTTCTCTCTCCTTTGCAGCTGTAAGGCTGTTGCTCTGTATATTTGATATAAGTATGTATTAAAATCTCTAGTTCCGCTGGTGTTATATATCACCTTTGGCCTGTTGTCATGGAGACTCTTCGAACTTGAGCTCCAGTGATAATGGCTTTTCATAGGCTACATTCTCACTACAGCCTTAAATTACCCAAATACACATTTATTTTTTTGTCAATATGCAACCTGAATTTGATCTTTTCATGACAGTTTGAACAACATAAACTTGATTATTTTTAAATGTGAACCAGGACACTCTCACTCTGTGGTGCTAAATCCAATACGAATCTGATCTTTCCAAATGCAACCTGTGTTTGAACAGTCAGGTCACATTAATCCAACCTGTACGTCATTAAGGGTGTGTTTGATTTCAGAGGCTGCATCCTCCAAGGACCCGGTCTAGCTGGGCTTGGTCTTTCGAGGTCCATGAAAATAAGGAGGCCAGAAGGGTTTGGGCTATGGATTCAGGTCCAGCCTTCTCCGGCATTCACCCTGTACGCGATGTCACCTAGCAACCGTAACAGTTGACACACAAAGCAGGCAATGAATGTATAATCACTACTTTTCTGGTTGATAATAAGATCCAGTACAGATAGACCATGGAGTCCTTAGACGATGGAGCCTCTGAAATCAACTCACCCCATTTGGACTTCAGAGCAGGTATAAAAGCAGGAGATTAACCACCTGCTTTGTGAATCACTTCATCAAAGAGCTGCAGAGTTTGTCCCCACATCACCACATCATTCACTTTATGACAGCATGAAATAAGCTGCAGGTGGTGTGTAGGAGCTATAAATGAAATATATTTTGATGTTTGTTTGTCTGAGTTTATAGATCAACTAGATTTGGGAGGAGTTTTGTAATTGGGCATACTACTCATCGCAGTGGTCTCCAACCCTGGTCCTCAAGATCTACTGTCCTACAGATTTTAGATGCATCCCTGCTTCAACACAGCTGAATCAAATGATTGATTACCTTTTCAAGCCATTAATTTGATTCAGCTGTGTTGATGCATCTAAAATCTGTAGGACAGTAGATCTTGGGGACCAGGGTTGGAGACCACTGTGTTAGAGTGTCAATAGTAGAGAGTGGATGAGTGGGCAGCTGTATTTTTTGTTGACCACAATACAAATCGCTATAATCTAGGTTTGACAAGTTATATTTTGGATATGTCATCCTACGTTGTTTATACCTTGTATGGGAATAAAGTTCACATCAGCACAAAATTGATCTCACCGGCTTCCTTTTTTGAACCAGTGCGTCTGACAAGGAACGGCCGACTATAGCCTCTCAGCAGCTTTTTTGTTTCCTGAAGTTTCTGCAATATGGTGTGTTCATGATCTCCATCAGTTTTATCATCTAAGTAAATCAGTGGATGAATTATTTCCTCCCACTGCAGAATCCAGGGTACCCTGAACTCTTGGAGTGAATAGGAATTTTTCAGAACCTCCAGGAGGAGCTGAGGTGGAAAACAGGGCAGATGTTCTACCTCCTGGAAATGTTACCTTGTTCTTTATCATCAGTGTAACTAAACTTTATTAAAAAAAACACAAACAGAGTCAAACAGTGTTTATTAGGTCTTCCTTAACAAAGCCGACTGTTAATAAAAACTGTATAAACGTGATATATGCATGCTACTCAGGAAAGAAGATTAATCCCTCTTATATGCTAGGAGCAAACAGGCTGCTGGTCTCATTCTTACAGTGGTATGGGAAGCAGAGAGGCCCTAAAGACGCTGTCCTCGTTCTCCATAAACTGGCGGAAGATCACACTGGCCTTTTGGATCAGCTCAGTGGAGTTAAGGTGGTCATCAAGAAGCTTTCTGAAATGGTCTGCCGGGTGGCTGTAAATGTTTACGAATTTCCAGGTGAGGTAGGGGTTGCTCTTGCTTTCCTTCAGTTGCTCGGCGAGCCACATCCGGAGCCCCTCACAGGAAAGAAGAGCCACAACGAAGAAAATGGCTTCTTCCTCATTCATGATGGTACGGTAGTCAGACAGATATTTGGCCATGGCAGGGATTGGTTTGACGTCCGGCACACTCTAGGGAATACAAAAGAGAACATGCTGAGGATGAGATAAGCTGCATTAGAAGGTGTAAAAAAGTTTTTAACTTAATTTAAAACAATTATTTCGGGTTATTTCTATTTTTTTTTCTGTCCATGTTCCCAGATCCATGTAAGTGTGTGTGGGGATGGATTCTTCTCATTGCATAAGAAGATGTCAATGAGACGAGACAGAGAAATCTTTTCAAACAAAGTTTCTTATTTGTGAGTTAAGTCCAACTGACGGCGGGACAGCCCAATCTAGCCCGTTTTTGCAATTTATCTGGCCCTAAAAAGTAGATGAATATGTTCTTGAAATGTGCAAAAATATACATAAATCGGAGTAAACTTATGGTTTAAAAGGAGTGTATTCTTTACTAATGAAATGTTTTAACCAAATGTTAAACTGGAGCAATCAGCCCTCATCAAGATCTGATTATGCCCAAGTTGAACAACACAAAATGAGGCTGACAGCACTGGCGATCTCGACTCCCACATTTATGACCTTTGATGGAAAAAATTCAACTAAATAATTTTTCTTACCCCGAGGTGGAAGTTTGCAAGTGTTTCTTTCTGATACTTCTTGTAGCTCTTGTATCTGTCCACCATGAACAAATAGATGTCATTTTCCATGTTTCTCTTAGACATCTCCTCCAGCATCTCTGTGACCTTCACCAAGTAGTTGATGTCCTGGATCATGAACTTCATATAGTCATCAGCCTGCAGGTCCCCCGACTGCATGTGCTGCAGAAATGGCTGCTTAAGGGACTGCTCGGCAACATCCTGGTTGTCTTGCCACAGGACATCATAGGTACTTAAAACTAGTTTAGTTGACATGATGCAGCCTGAGAAAATAAAAACAGAAAATAAACTTTTAGAAATGCTTCAGTGAGGAGACTCTAGCTCACTGAAGGTCTGCAGGGTGTTTGTAAATTTTGATTAACATCAGAGGCAGCTGGTGTAATGCAAAATAATGGAGGAAGAGATTCTCAGAGAAACACGGCTGTTGGAAGTAGAGGTTTCAAGTCACGAAGTACAAATACTTCGTTTCTGTACTTAAGTACACTTTTAGGTATCTATACTTTACTCCATTACTAATTTTTCTTCCTACTTCTGACTTCTACTCATTACATTTTCACACAAGTATCTGTACTTTCTATTCCTTACATTTTTAAAACAAACGTTACTCGTTACTCTTGGCTTCAGTATAATGTTTATAAATATTTATTTCACGTCATGTGCGCCATCCAATGCAGATCATTGGCGCCATACACATCTAGTGAAAACTAGTATAATTGGATGAGTCATATAACACAAACACTCATTGGTTAGCTATTAGTCAAATTCATGCTGATGCCAAAGAAAATCATCAGAAGTGTTCTTCAAACTGCAAATGTGAATTGTCTATACCATGCTACAATGTCGGATTCAGAAAAAGATGTTGAACTGTCTGAAAGGTCGGACACAGGCGAGAGAGTATTGGTGTCATGATTTTGTTCAAGTTTTATTTCGAGTTTTCATTGGTGTTATTTTGATTCTTGTGTTCTAGGTATTTTTGATTGTATTTGAGTTCTTGGACATTTCCTGTTTGCACTCTTGTGTCAGTCTCCTTTTCCCTCCCTTCTTGCCTCTGTTCACACCTGCTCCCAATCTGCTAATTTGTCTGGTCTGCGTTTCTCTCTCCCATATAATCACCCCCTGTTCTGTCACTCTTTGCTGGTTTGTACTGTCGCAGTGGGGGTAGAGGTTTGACAGGACCCAAATGCAGTCAAAAGCTTGAATGTTCTAATGCCAAAGGTTTAACAGAGGCAAAAATCCAAAAATATAAATCCACAAAAATCCCAAAAATGTTCAAAACCAAAAATACTCACAACAAGAAGGGGACAAAGTAATGATGACAAACCAGCCAAGAGAGATGGAGACGGAGACCAACAAGACCCATCCTTGGCCCTACGTATCTCAAAGATTTTTTTTCAAAATAGTCAAACAAATTTAACTTTCAGTTCATATAGTGGTATCTGGCTGGTTTTTTTTAAAGGTTACTTTATACTTTTATACTTTAAGTAGTTTTTGAAGCACATTCCTTTTCCCTTTTACTTGAGTAAAGAGGTCAAGTTGATACTTCAACTTTTACCAGAGTGTTTTTTTAACTGCAGTATCTATACTTCTACCTACATGTATGAGTAACAAATGCCGGTAGTTTTGACACCACTGGTTAGAAGAAGGTGTGTCACCTTCAGCTGATGCTAGATCAGACAAAAACTTTAGGCTCAATCTGAAGAAAATATTTCAAAGTTTTCAGATAAGAGGGAACATCTGAAGTTTGCAGTTTGGAAAAGTTCAAAGATTAAGTGATTATGAACAAATGCATTAAAACTGTCTAACTGAGGAGGGGAAAAAAGCCTTGAATAGATTGAGGTCTAGAAGATAAGGAAGATCCCAAAAAGTCTATTATTCATTAATTAATTATCTATTTATTATTATTTGAACAGGTGGGTTTCTCTGGGATTTCTGTATCTTTTTTAATATTTTAGTACATGTAATTCAACTTAATAAATCAATACAAAGAAATAATGTATCTAATTATAAATAAAATCATACTGATACGATGAAAACAGTTAATCACTACAGCTTTAATAAAGCACCAGCTACTGTTTTTGGTCGTGTTAACCTCTCAAAACCCACCCTTTTAAAGTATTTACAAATAATAACTCAGAATGCATGAAAATTACACTAGTAAAATGTTCATCTATAAAGACATGTTAGTAACTGTTGCTAAGCTTGGATTCTCCATAATAAAACCACCTAGTTAATTTATGGACATAGTGAGCAGCAAAACACAATTAACACAGACATAGTACATGTAGCATGACAAAGCAGCCACAATAAGCAAGCATGTCTTTATTAACACTGTTTAAAAAAGACCTATTATTTTGGAGAATAAAAAAAAAAAAACAAATTTGAGTCTTGTTTGAACTGATGCAGCTTGGGCTTGATGCAGCTTGGGTATTTTACTCACCCAATTTTCATGTATATATTCAGAAACTAGAAGGTGTTCGCTTTCAAATAATGTATCACACATGTAATTTGGGCTTACACTTCCTAAGTTATTTGCTTTTCCATTTGGGTTTGCAAAATAGGTGAGAATTTCCAAAAATGAGGTGGTTATTATTCTCTAGCAGCAGAAAAAAAAATCTCCCTCAGCATTAAGCTCTTTATGATGCATCATATTGATATCAGAAATTGGGGGAAGTAACTCTGAGTCTGTGTTGAAAGTAAAACAGATAAATTTTCTCAAGGAGCAGATCAGGGTGGAGCTCGGATTATTGTACCGCAATAAAATTGGATCAGCTCTTTAATCTGCAGCAGCAGAATTAACTCGATATTATTAAAAATCACAAAACGATGACTGAAATGATCAGACCCTAATATGATAGATCAGAGCTTACTGGATAACGAGATGATCTGATTTCGAAGAGATGCAGAAACTATCCAGGAAGGTTATGTAAGGAGGCAGATCACTGGAGTCCAGAAATAAAGAATCCTGAATCCTGGGAAGAAAGCAAAAGAGGTAAGAAACACAACCCTGAGGAACAAAAAACACACCAAGCAACTCAAACCTGATTACCAGTCAAGTGAAGCCAAACTGGTGTCTGTCTTAGAGAGTCAACTCCTGTTTATACTCCTCCATCAACGGCTCCAAAGCCTGCCTTTGTTGGCCACACCCTGAAGGGAAGGAGGAGGAGAAAACACCAGCATCACCTGCACACAGCTTATGAATATAAAGCATCTTGGTTTTATGAAATCTTCTACTAAAACAGAAGCACTAAAATCTCTTTATCTTATCATAAAACGATCATTTGTTTTTTGGGGCTAATTTTCAATATATGGCTCCATTTGTTTCCTCTCTTCCCCATGACAGACTGGTACAGCAGCCACACAAATCAATTTATCCATCCCAAGCTCCATTCTCTCCTCACTCATAAGCAGACCCTAAGACACTTGCACTCCTCCACTTGAGGCAAGAAATGTCCTCCAAGCTGAAGGGGACATGCCACCTTTATCTGGTCAAAAACCAGAACCATTACCTCTGACTTGAAGGAGCTGATTTTCATCCCAGCCGCTTCACACTCAGCTATGAACCGCCCCAGTGCGTTCTGTTGGTCTTGGCAGAGGTGGGCAAGTAGAACCACACCATCTGCAAGAAACAGGGACAAGATCTGCTGTTCCCCAAACCAGACCCCGTCTGGCCCCTGTCTATTCCCAGAAACACTGTGCATAAAGGTTACTGGATGTACAGTTTTCTTTTGGATGAGAGACGAAACGTCTTCTAGAAAACTTCATGTCCAGTTGCCTAAACTGAACTTTTCAAGCTTGACCATGACCTGGATGACTGAGAATATTCACAGGTATGTCCATAAAAGGTTATGAACAGGACCAGTAACAGAGGGCATCCATGCTGGAGTCCAACATGTTTCGATTAAGCTGTTTCTAATTTTTTCAATAGAAGTGATCCAACTAGTTTTGTCTGTACATTGTAATTTTACAAAAAAATTTTGTTGACATTTATGTTCTGAAGAACTGTCACAGTGATGCAACTTTCTAACTGCTGAGTGTTCCTCAGAGCTGTGCGCCCTCTCCACTTCAAAAAAGAAATGCACATGCACAACCCTGTACCCGCTACCAAGAGGCTAGCCTGTTAAACATATGTGAGAGACAAGCCTTTTAAATGTCCTGTTTAAAAGTTGCTGTTTGCATCGCTCATACAAGCTTACCTTCCAAAAGAAGATGATCAATTTTTCCACTAGCACATAGGACAGCCTTATGTAAATATATCACCAGAATGATTGACAATTAGGAGGAATGATTTAATGATCCACACAGAAAAAGAACATCCTCCCCGATAGCTTTAAGTTCTTTCATTTATTTTCTACTGCGCAGTATTAGGTTCAGATTGTCTCATTCTTATCAACCCTTATGTTCTGACTGCTAATGTCCATGTGAACATAAAGTATTCTTGGTTCTTTACTCTGTTCTTTCAAATAATTTCATTGTTATAGGGAGTTTTCCTCTCCACAACAAATGTCTGTCCCCCTCTGTTATCAGGGAGGGCAGTTCCCCAGCGGCCCGTTCATTCCCCAAGAGAAGACAGCTCCCAGCCTAGAAAATACTACCGTTAATCTTGACAACTTTTGACTGACATTTGCCTAAAGCAGAATGTAAACACTTGCATAGAAAATAGCATGAAGCAGCTTGAAAATGGTACAGAAGGCAGATGGTCTGTAGATTGGCTGCTGTCAAAAGCCATATTCACTATAGTTGTGGGTGTTGGCAACCAACTAATAAAAACAATTATATCTCAAAACGTTAGACAGTTTTGTATGTTTTTCATGATGATCCTTTTTCCTCAACCCAGCTTCTCTGTGTCATGTTAAATATTTTAGAGCCCTGGGGTAGAACCATATATTGTTCTTCTCTCCACTACAGACAGGTTATGACAGCAAACTTTTTCTATAGAATTGATTTAAAATGTTTCTGTAGAAGTGATCCAACTAGTTTTTGTATGGCTGGGTGTTTCACAAATCTGGGTGTGATACCACTTATGGTCAGATTGGTTTATTCTTATTAAAGCTATGTTCTGACTGCTAAAGTAAACATAAAGTACTCTTGGTTTTCTGCTCTGTTTTCTCAAATCCTGTAATTGTTATTGGGAGTTTTTCCTCTCCCCTGTCAACAAATGTATGCCCCCCTCTGTTATCAGGGAGAGCAGTACCCTATAGACTACTAGGACATAAACGCAGTCAGAAAATACTTGTGTTCCAAGCGTTCCAGGGTGACATCTGTGAAATGACAAGAAGCTGCAGCAAAATTTGCTACAGCTGAAGGATCTCTGGAAATCATAGATGAACAACAGTAACAGTAAGTAAAGTTTCTGAGACTAGAGGCTGAAGATTAAAGACATATTGTACAGCAAGCAGCTGAAGGCTGTAGGATGGCGGAAGAAGAAGCACAACTAAAAGCAAAATTTGAGGTTGATAATGTAGGCAGGTGAAAGATTTCAGAAGAAAATCAAAATAAACCTTAAAATTTGTGTTAGCCGAGTGCTGCAAAAATATGTATTTCAGATATCAGAAATACATATTTTGTCATTACAGTTCTGAATAGGAATGTTATTTTGACCAGGAAGGATCCTATTTAAGTGATCTACAGATAGAACAACAGAAAGAAGATAAATGTGGTTAAATAAATAAATATGCTTTCCATAAATGTCAAACTTGCCTGCCTTACAAACTACACATAATCTTACGTATTAACTACAGCAGCAGTCTTCTCCTACATCATATCTCTCTCCTTTGCAGCTCCAAAGCTGTTGCTCTGTCTTGTCTTTTAACACATCCTCCAATGTTTTTTTTTTATTCTGTTATAAAATCTCTGGCTGTAGTGGTGTGATATACGCACTTCCTCTTGCATGTTGTCATAGTGACTCCTCGAACTAGGGCTTCTCTGATAATGGCTTTTCATAGGCTAAATTCAAACTACAGCCTGAAGTGTCCCAAATACGATTTTGTTTGGCCAATATGCACACTATCTAATTTTTTCATGACAGTCTGAACAACACAAATTTGATTTTTTTAAATGTGACCCAGGCCATTTGGCTATGAGTAGCAACCGTGACAGTTTCTCACTGTTGTTGTGTTAGGCTCAGAACAGATGGACCCAGTATTCGAGGCAGACACAAAGTTTAGGCTTAACAGTTTATTAAGACCAGAACTGGAGTGGACAGCGTTAGCATCTACAGCAGGGACCTCTGCAGTAGGAGACAACAAGTTAGTGACCTTGCTTAGGTGCAAGTGCTTGCACACAAAAGTGTAGGTAACTAACCTGGTCTTAATGTCCAGTTCTGGTCCAGGAGTAGAGGTAGATCCCAGCTGGCCAGGTCCCCGATGCTGGGGTATTGTCGCTGGGCGGACAGGTAGGCGGTCAGAACCGTGAAGACAAACATGAGCAGGGTGAGCCATTAAGGGTTGGAAATAGACAGCAGCAACCAGCATGTTGTTCTGAGGGGTCCAAACTGTGTTCAGCGTTGTTCTTCTGGTTTCCTGTTCTTTATTCTCCTGCCAGTAGAGGGTGCTACTGCTGCTGTTGGTGAGACGTACCATGTTCACTTCCTGTTTTGACTGGTGAGATGCATTGTTGTTCAGGCTATCTCCGGCCGTTTCTCAATTCATAAGAACAGGAATACGGACTTGTGTCCTCGCCAAGTATTTTTCATGAGAGGAACATAAGAAAGTGTGGACTTGGGGAGAACGGGACCACGCAGCATAAATATGGGTCAATTGGAACAGAATCATACTCGTGACATATGCTCGGCTCGTCTTTAGCTGCATTTTACCTCCTGTTATAAATAGTCTCTAGATAATAATTATAACTTTTTTCGTTTATCTGGGGAATAATAATTAACACAATCAGATAAACACAAACAAAAAGAACATTTTGCCCAAAAAAAAAAAAAACTTGCCAATTAGCTCCAGTGGTACTTCACATACAGCTATACTGAGAGAGGGGGGCTGCAGTCGGGCTAGGATTAGACCTGGCTGCCGTAACCGTTGGAGGTCCTCTGGTTGCCGCAGTCCTTTCAACTTCAGAATTTTTTTTTTTTAAATCAAGCATTAAATTGGTAAATGGGCTATATAGTGACACTTAAAAGTATAATGTTCTTGCCTCAAATCTGTGATTTCTTAATATCTTAAAAAATACTTTTATTGAACAACAGCAACAGAAAAGAAAACTTTTAACTTAATACTCAGAGCTCTGTGAGCGCTCCTTTGAAAGCTACCGCTGCCATGGTGCATGCTGGGACAGCTGTCAATCTCAAGAACGGAAAAGTCTGCTCTGATGCATACTCGGTAAAGAGGGAGGGACAAGAACAACATCCGGGGACTTTTTCCGTTCTCGGTCTGCTGTTCTTGTGAATTGGAACAGTACTGGGGCTGAGGCTGATGACATTTCACAAGTACCGGTACATGAACACATGAGAACGCACAAGTACACATATTGAGAAACGTCTTCCTTCTGAATTAAGTTCTTTTTTTCTGTGATATCTCTGTCTCTTGGTAGCTCTAACTGTCCAGAAACACTTTAAAACATAGCGTCTTCTGCTGCACTTTTCTACTGAGCACTTGTCACTTTCACAAGGTTTTATTTCTGGTAGTAAGGAGTAGCGACCCTAGGCTAGCGCTAACTTAGCATCGCTATGGCTTTGCTGTCTTCCTCCCTTGACCCTTTTTAGACTGTTTATTCTTCCTCTCTTCTCTCTGTGTCAGATTTTTAGTTATTTCTGTGCCTCCTTTAATGATAATGGTGTCAGAGGTAGAGTCCCAGCTTCAGGCTGTCGAACATCCAGGAGTTGGTGTGGGCAAACTTGTAAACTGCTCGGAGTCACTGAAACCAGGAACATGTCCATGTAGCTGTCCTCCCACAGTGCCTTAGCAGCCAGGCAATTGGCTGACGGTATGCAGAAATTGTAGTTGTGGATCTCTGCCCACTGGTCACCATCAACCTGTCCACATTTCTAACCGATTTTCCTTGGTCAGTGACCGGCCCACCCACTGGGAAGCCCACTTGGGTTATTGGCAGCTCCATAGTCAGAAATATGG